GTACTGGTGTTGTGCTTGCTGGTGCCGGTGCTGGTGCCGCTGCTGCTGCCGCCGCCGCTGCTGCTGCTACTGCTGCGGTGGTTGTTGATGCTGTAGTGGTTGTTGTCTTCGTGCTGTGTGGTGTTCTTGCTCTGAGGCTTACCACCATCGTTGTTGCAGACCCACGATGGTTGCAGACCTTCTTGCTGATCTTGTAATTATTGCCGCGTTCGATGTCCGATTTCCGGCTATTTCCAATGCTAGGCTTTGACATGTCGTTCTTGCTCTGTAGTCTTTCTGGTTGCGTAAGTAGTGTTGTCATGACGTTCATGGGCGCAACAGCCTTCACGATTGTTTCTCGCTCCTCCTCTATGTCATGCCCTAAACCCTAGATCCCTACACGCTAAACCCCTAAAACCCTAAACCCGTAAACCCCTAAAACCCTAAACCCTGAACCCTAAACACTTGAACCCTAAACCCTGAAACCCTAAACCCCTCGGGGCGACAGGTGGCCACTTGGTGGCAGCCGCAGGCTTGCGGGCACCAAAACGCAAGTGGGGAGTAGAACACACTGCCTGGCAGCGTCATTCAGGAGGGTTCGGGGTCTAGCTCAGGGTTTAGGGTTTAGGGGTTTAGGGTTTAGGGTTTAGGGTTTAGGGTTTAGGAGTCTATGCCTTTATCCTCAACGAGTAATTAACTCGAAACCGGGAACCCTAATCCGCAAGCCTGAAACCATCGACCTCCCGACCTCTCCATGAAGCAGCTCATAAAGAGGACTCAACCGTTGATAAGGGTCTGTAGGCTATAGGATCCTGGATGATCAAACTGGAGATTAAGTGCATACCATAACTTAACATAGCCATAGTACCAAATATTCAGACCTGAACATTAAAAGCTCCGAGTCAGCCCGGTTAGCAAAAAGCACTGCCGGCTGGGTGCGCCAATCAAGTGTTACATTACTTCCCTAGTACTCAGGGGCATAAATGCTTTCAACTTTCACAACAGCACGACTTTCTACGACGAGCCCGCAACTTCAAAATCTTGGCATGCGGAACCAAGTCATAACATCTGGATGCACAACGTTTCAGACACACATAATCCACAAACCCTAAAGCCCAAACCCTACACCCAAAACCGTGAACTCCGAACTCTAAACTTCAAGCTCTACTCTCTAAAGCTCTTTAGCGTTCAGCCCTTGCCTGTACCCAAAATCAAGACCCGAAACCCCAGACCGCAAACCCTTTAAAGTTGCGGCAAAACGTTGGAACATCGTTATCCTCATGCCCCTAAGATAAAGTACAGGGAATCCCAACACTACTCATCTGCACTCCAGGTGCCAACTTTCTGGGATTCACTGTAGAGAGGTACTATAAGCCCTAAACCCTAAACCCTAAACCCTAAACCCTTATAGGGCCGGCCCAATAAAAAATCAAACTGCTTAGTGATAAAGAAATATTGATACAACCCCCCTACACCATTAACCCTGAACCCTAAACTATACGAACCCTAAACCCTGAGCCCTCTAAACTCTCTAAACCCTAAGCTAGACCCGACAGTCCAAAACTCTACACACCCTAAACCCTAAACCCCAAACCCTAAACCCTGAACCCTGAACACTAAACCCTAACAGCCGACGGCGCCGACCTACGCACCAGCTGCTGCGCATCACAGGATCCTGGGCCGAGGCTGACAGACCTGGCCAGGGCAAGGCTTACGGACTTCCATAAGGGTTTAGGGTTTAGGGTTTAGGGTGGAGGTGTTTAGGGTTTAGGGTTTAGGGTTTAGGGTTTAGGGTTTAGGGTTTAGGGTTTAGGGTTTAGGGTCTAGGTGTTTTTGGACTTTCGGGCTTTGGGGCCTTGGAGTTTAGAGGTTTCCAGTGAAAGACGAGAGCACAGTGAGTGCATTTGCACGGCCGCCGCAACATTTGCATTACATCGCAGTGGCTCTCGACTTACTGTGGGCGGCAGTCCGTATGAATTTTGTTGGGTTGTAGGGGCTTCCGGGGTTGGAGTGAGGGATTTATGGGTTTAGGGTTATAGGGTTAGGGTTCAGGGCTGGGGTTTAGGGTTTACGGTTGGGGTTTAGGGTTTAGGGCTAAGATTTAGGGTTTAGGCTTGTACGGATGTTGTACCCTAAACCCTGAACCCTACACCCTAAATCCCAAACCCTACACCCTAAACCCTAAATCCTAAACCCTAAATCCTAAACCCTGAACCCTAAACCCTACATCCTAAATCCCAAACCCTACACCCTAAAGGTATGGGACTCTGGAATGCCTTTTGGGTTCCGGTGCTCACCCTCCGTAGTCTCAGGTTCCCTAAAAAAGCTGTTACTGGTTTAGGGTTTTTAGGGTTTAGGGTTTAGGATTTAGGATTTTAGGGTTTTGGGTTTAGGGTTACTAACCAATGGCTGTTGCGCGCTGCGCCAATTTATTCAATACTTGATCCGCTTGCCTGTGTTGCAAACCATCATCACCACTCCCACCGCCACCGCAACCGCCAACAGCGAAACCACAACCAGCACGAGCAACGCGACACAACCTCGACTGTAACAGCAACGGGAAGCGACAGAATCACAAAGGCTAGTTCTAAAGCCCCAAAGCATAAACCCTAAACCCCAAACCCCTCAACCCCTAAGCCCTAAACCCTAGAAGGTGCATTGCCTGTGCGCCCTCTGCAACCCGAAGTCCTTCTCAAAACAACAAACCCTGCCAAACCTGCCCTGCAAACCCGCACGGATGTGGCAAGTCGATTATGGCTCGGGTAAGAACTGCCCCCACCCTGTAGCAACTGGTTTAGAGGTTTGGGTTTAGGGTTTCAGGGGTCATACTCAGGGCTAGTATCCAGCTGTCACAGAGTCGGGGCAGTACCCTAAACCCTAAACCCTAAACCCTAAACCGTTTAGGGTTTTGGGTTTAGGGTCTAGGGTTTAGGGTTTAGGGAGCATCGCACGACTTCTGGACTTCGAATCAGAACTCGAACGAAAGCTTGAACCCTGTGTGCAGATGGCTTGCAATCGAGCTCTACCTGCTCTACTTAAGCCATCAAGCCCATCACCTAAACGCGAAGACTTGACATCACCAAACCTCAAAACCCCTAGACCCTAAACCCTAAACCCCCAAATCCTAAACCCGAAACCGCAAAACCCTAAACTCCCTAAACCCTAAACCCTTAAACCCTAAACCCTAAACCCCAAACCCCAAAACCCCAGGCCGAGTAGGCTTCGAAGTCCCTCAGCTAGATAAGATGCCAGGAATCATCGTAGGCTCGTACTCAACCCTATCAAGACCAGGGAATATCCCTTAGCTGCTGCTAACCTTAGCTCAGCTACACGGCATCTTTGAGCTGAAACAACCCTCCACCCACAAGTCCTTAAAGTCAACAAAAGCCACCCTAGCCTACGTATTAAAGTGCAGAGTTGAGAGTTACCGCTTCCAAACGTTCTTGGGGCATCGTCCCTGGCCACCCACTTGCCTTGAGGGTTGAGGTTTTAGTTTTGCTGTGCACTGGCCTTCACAACCCACTTGCTTGACATACTCAATCCAATCTGGGAGGTAGCTGAGGCTTGCTGCAGAGTCGAAGTCCACCCTCAGGATTGTCGAGGGCTCAGGGGCGTCGGGTCGCTAAGAGCACCCATTTCAAGGCGGACTTGGGAGTGTAGGTTTCGGGACTTACTAATACCCTACACTGCATGAGGGTTCAATGTAGGGGCTTAATAATTAGAATAGGGTTTTGGGGTATACTCTGGTATAATTATAATAAGGAACCCCCACAATAGTACAAACAATTATTTAGGCCTAAACCCTAAACCATAAACCCTAAACCCTAAACCCTAAACCTCAAGGGTGTAGGGTTTAGGGTTCGGAGCGCAGCGTTTGGTTGTTTATAGGGCCCCAAAAAAGCACATAAGCAAAAATTAGGATAGGGATATCCCAAAAAAACCCCTTATGATGAAGCCCAATAAGGTAGGGATATCCCTACAAAATGGTTGTGCTTGTATTCTTTTACCCTAAACCCTAAACCCTAAACCCTAAACCCTAAACCCTAAACCCTAAACCCCTAAGTGTAGATCCTGTGCTCAGGGCTTACCAGTCGAGGGCTTTCGGGTCCCTGAACCCAACTTGGAGGATCGGAGGAAGTATGCAGTAAGTATAGTTTAGGGTTTAGGGTTTAGGGTTTAGGGTTTAGGGTTTAGGGTTTAGGGTTTAGGGTTTAGGGTTTAGGGTAAAGTTGTACGTGGCTTAAGCGGGATCCTAATTGGGGCTATGGTCTTTGATAGAAAGTCGCTACAAGCTTTTCGGCTACAGGCTTTTTTGGCACAGGGGGGCTTCCAGGGTCCTGATGTCGTGAATTGCACTCAACATGTAAGCGGTGTCCAATATAACGGCTCGAGGCTTAAAGTTCCGACGTCAAACCAGAAGCCATCGTCGTATGTGTGTGTTACAAAGATGACCTGAAAAGTTGAAGGATCGACCAAGCTTAGCTTCAGGGCAGGTCTGCTCTTGGAAACAACACATATGCGAGTACAGACTTGGAAAATGACCCAATCGCTACGGGAAGTGCGAACTGATGCCTGCCTTGGTGACCACCCAGGACAGACAACACAAAGGATTCCAGCGTCATGGGCTAAACTTATTAAGATTACCGGTAAAGGGTCTGCACCTATAAGGACAACTTGCGCTGTCAATTACCTCATCAAACCTTACTGCCTCGATACTCCTGCATGTACAAAGTGGGGACCTTGGGATCACAGGCTTCCTACAACGGAACGGTAATTGAGAGTCTACCACTTTCACAATCAGCATTGCAATAGTCTGAAGAATTACCAGAACAAATGCGCAAGTACCAACTGCAATGACTGCCTATCGAATCAGTTTGCGAGCTACTTGCTAGGATGCTTGGTTGGTGGCTTCAGGGATACACATGGGAACGGTCAACTGACTGGCAACTCAGAGGCTATGGATTGGATTGGAATGTGCCCTGCGATCTGCAGAAGGGAATTTTCACGGCCACAGACCAAGATCACAGATCGAAGCTCCACGGGGATTCACTGCCTCCTTCGAGGACGTGCACGCCCCACACCCAGTTGAGGCAGCTGAGCACGCTGCGTCTTTCCGAAGATGCATCGTGATAGACTAAAGAGAAACTCTTCTCGCCAGGTGTCTTCCTTGGATAGAAGACTCTCCAGCGCCTGGAAAGCTTCAACTCTTGTTGGAATTCGACTCTGCCATGCTTGCACGAAGGCAAATAAGGGGTGATGGCTGCGACATTGATTCTGGTCCAATCGATTTTGAAAGGCTCTTTCTGCAACCTCTGTTTCTTCGCTGGTGGCTTTGGGCACGCACTGGATGATGCAGCTTTTGCAGTGGCAGGCTTCTGCTTGGAAGCTGTCTCAGAGCCGGAAGTGGCAGCTGGCTTCGGACTGCTGCGCAGCTGCTTTCTGAACTGCGCCACATCTTGTTCTTCCAAGTAATCTGCAGCTAAGTCTAAATGCTTCTCGTCGCTCAGAATAGAACCGATTTCGCGAAATTCACTGCTGTCCCGATTGGCCAGGTAGCGATCGATTTGATCAGCCGTTTCACCAGGAAAACAGTGCTCAAGCATTGCTTTGCAAATCTCCCGCACAGTAGATGGGCGCCTGCCTTCCTTCTTGACACCGAGCTTTGAATAGAGCTTCTGCAAATAAGGCATTGTCAACCCCTTGAACCCCTGGGAGGCCGCCGAAGTTAGCAAACTGTCCCAAAGTCCAGATTGCAAAACGATGCCTTTTCCAACAAGGCTCCTGAAACCTCCAGCGCTTACGTGGGCCGGAGACTTCACAACAATCTCACACATCTTCCACAAGTTGAAATCTGTAACGATGCGGAACTGCAACGAGGATGTTTCGCTTAGATCCAGTTCCCAAAGCTTCAGCACCTCGTTGCGGTGACCCTTCACTTGCCGGCCTTTCACAGGCCATCCGAGCACGCCCCAGATCGTCGACTTGAAAACCCAGATTGCTGTTGTTGCATCGCTCTTTTTCCACAATACCCATCCAGGCAATGCCAGCATCGACTGCCAGCAACTCCGCAAGTCATCTAACTTCGTGCGAGTTGTATACAACAAAGCCTCAGTTGCCCAGGCAATCATCGAATGGTTGGCAGGAGATAGGCTTACCCACGTATCATTTTCAGACATCTGTTTCAAGCCATCTTTGCCTCCCAACGAGAAGCTTTCCATTTTGTCCGGAACGAACAGCTTCTTCGGAAGGGCGCTTGGCACTGCAATTCCGGGAACTTCTGCTGGTGGCTGGTAGCCGAGTCGCTGCAGAAGGCCTGTGTCTTGGAGGGACTGCCACAGATTGATTTTGTCGAGTCTGCCGCTCTTCACCTTTCGGGTTCTGTCGGTGGCATCATTGAAAGCTTCCTCCACCATCTTCGTGTGGCTGCACAAGTTGCCGAACAAGTCTTCGAGGTGCAATTGTAGAGTTGCAGTTGCAAACCAATCCATTTCCTGCAAGTCGATGAGCAGTCCTCTCACCGTAGACAAACTTGGCCAAACAAGGCTGTCTAGGAAAGACCTGTACCAAGGGTCCTGAAGGCTGAGCCGCTCGAGCTCCTGGCAAACTTCCCACAGAATCCGCAACTTCTCCAGGCACTCACCTCGTGATTCCTCTGCTAGCAAGCCGAGAAACATGAAAGGTGGAGCATGGGAGTACTCCCCCATGGAAAAGGATCTGCCTGCACAGACCTCTCGCGCAAGAGCGACCATCCTTTTTGCCATCTCATTCTCCACTAGGACGTCTGCTGCAGTTTGGGTGCCATCCGTGGCCAGGTCCATGCCTGCCCAATCCAAGGCATCACGGTCTTGAAGCTTCAGCAGGACCGCACGACAAGTTTTGGACGTAGCCTGCCCTATGCTCCAGGATTTGAGCACATGCATGGTCCCATCCTTTCCTGTCTGCATGACCTTCATGTCTTTCCCCATCTGGATTCGGACGGGGTCCACGATGTCAATCAGCATCGAAAACATGCGTCTGGTCGTGTTGTTGTGCATTACCAAAGTTGCCATTTCCAGAGTGTTCTTGCATTCCTTGCGAAGCAGCTCAACTGTCTCATTGCTGTGTTTAACGCTCTTTGTCGCCATGCCGGCAGCCTGCCCTGCAGCTTGGCTCGTGGCCAGAAGCCCTCGCACACCGTAATCATCACCATTTTCCAAGCCCAGGGGGGAGGCTGAAAGCGACTTCCACCAGCCTTCCCTCCAACCGTGGAAAAGCATGATGCAAAGCCGACCACTCCAGCATTCCCGAAAGCTGTGGCCACTGTCAAAGAAAGAAGCCCATCGAGCCCACTTGACATTGCTCCCTTTGTGAGAAAGCTCGGAATTTTCGCAAAGTTGACGAAAGACAGTCTGCATATGTTCTTCGCTCCCATAGTCCAGTGCACCTTGCAGTCCCCATTCGCGGCAAATTGCATTGTACGTCGACTGGAAGAAAACATTGTCGAAGGAAGAACTGCTTTTGAACACCTTCAATGTTGACTGAAGCTGGCCATGAAAAGCTGCGCCTTGAAACGGACCGCATCTCACATTCATGGCCAATGTACCTTCACGCACGATTGACCAGAAAGATGTGGCAACACACGCGGCCTTCAGGTCGTTCCAGATTCTGTGCCACGGGTCATGGCTGTAGTAGCCACGCAAGCCGAAGGCCTGAAAAGCCATCTGGACACACGGCCAACCAACGGAGCCCTGATCAACACAAACAACGAGGCTGGGTGACAGGTATGCCCTACCATCCTTGTCCAAGTGCTTCGGGTGTTCCAAAACTCGTTTGCCACTGTTGCGGTCGAGCACGGCGACACGCTTCTGCCCCACGCCCTGCTCTCTGCCCAAACAAACAACTTCCCGAGTCTCATGGCTTTCCAAACGTGTGGGACGCCGCAGAGGAAGGAAATCTGACAAGCTGTAACCAGTGCCTGCTTTGATGGCATTTTCCATGCACAACATATAATGCATATTCGCAGCACGTCGTGGCCGCATTTCTGCTGCGACCTCTGGGTCATCGGGGCCCGGTGCTTCACGCAGCCATTGGCACAAAGCGCTCTGGAGCACCTTTGCACTCTCATCGGACTCGGGGGCAACACTGGGCTCGTCAGCCAAAACCTTGGATGGAGTTGTGCTTCAGGGCATCACAATCGCAACCTACTCAGAACAATACACTCGGACAGCTTCCTGTCGAGTTGCGTGAACTGTCTGGCATGGAGAACGAGAGTCCGGACTATCTGGTAGAAACCCTAGGAAGCTAGAGACTTTGAATGACAACGACACGCTCTGGCCATCTTTAGATTGGATAGGGGGTAACTATTGTTGGACCAATTAGTTCGGGGCCTGCTTCTGGGCGAGTCATCACATCGGGATCGCGTAGTCTCCCCCGGTTTCGCACTTTACGACCTTGGGTTTGGGGTTCGATTTTCGGGTTTGCAGCTATCGAAACGGGATCTGCAGACTGCCCCCCTCTTTTCACCTGTGTGGACCCGCATTGGTCCACGTTCAAACATGCAGAAACGCCATTTTGTTCTGGACTTGGATGCTCAACAAGATCACGCGAGCTCCATTTTGCTACAAAGACTTGGGACGGCTCAAGAACAAAACAGCGCCATTTTGTTACGGGGACTTGGGTGCTCAAGAACACAGAAGCTCCATTTTCCTAGAAAGACTTGGGGCGGCTCAAGAACAAAACAGCGCCATTTTGTTACGGGGACTTGGGTGCTCAAGAACACAGAAGCTCCATTTTGCTAGAAAGACTTGGCTTGGACGTGCTTCCTGTCTCACTTTGAAGCTCTCATCTTCCACGGCGGGAGGGGGAGGGTGGAGAGATGATCCCTTCGCCGCGCACAGCCAAGGAGGGGTGAAGGGCGCACCATTTTTCTTCACCGGCGGGCATGGCGAGCATCATCAGCACCAGCTGGGTTTGGGGCACGCCAGACCGAGCATCATGAGCATCAGTTGGGTGCGTCGCTGGTGCAATAACTGCAACCGCAACCCACCACGTCCCATCCCAAGGTTCCAGGTTAGGTTGAGGGTTTATGTAAGCTTCACGGTTTAGGGCTCAGGGCTTAGGATTTGAAGTTTATTGCAAGATGTCGAATGTCGGGCTTTTGGCTTGGGGTTTAAGGTTTAGGGCACAGGGAGTTGTTTTGGGTTTGGTGTTGCAGTTTTAAGGTTCTTCCTGCAGGGCTCATTGTCATCGGCGGTGAAAACTCAGTTACGGCCGTGGGTGCTAGGGACGGAAGGTCTGCAAACCGAACGCGTCCAGTCAACATAAAACGCACCTGCAACCGTGGACACGACACTTTAGGTACATCCGCACGACAGGTGTGACACACTAAGCCGTACGTACGCCTCAACGTGCTACACCAAACCATTCAACAAAAATCACGGAGACTACTCACTGATCTGCACTATGAACCGTGGAACGCGAACACGGACTTGCACATCTTGGGCTGGGCAATAAACTCCTACACCATGTTGGATGGGACTGACTTTTGGACTAAAAGCCATCAGGCACTGCTTATTCTGCAGCCCACAAGCTGTTCGATTCCAGCTGTTGCTTCAAGTGCTACGGATACCCTGCTTTTCAACCGTAGATCTTTTCGAAACATGAGCTGGGATTCTCAACGAACCCTGACATGCCCAAGAGTTCCAAGTCACCTGGGGTGGTAGCCAAATCCCTGTGCAGGACCTCGAACAAGCGCCGACAAGGAGATCAACACCAGGATCGCCGAGACGCTTAGCATCCAAGCTCACAGCAACGACCACATTGTTGCATTTGTTTGATTGAAACTCCTCCCAACAGTTCGCAGCATAGCGACATGCATCCTTCCGTTGCCAGACAGCACCTTGGCTCGGATATGCAACATCATGCACGTCATTGATGACTCCACGGCTCAAGTGTTTTGCAGCTGCTTCCTGTCGTAGAAACTGGACAACATCCTCATCCACACAGTTGCGGCCTTGCTGAGCGGGGTCCAAGTCACGACCCAACATAACATCTCCATGAGAACTTTCGACAGTGTGTTGATCGATGTGCTGTGCCAGAGTCTCGAGCAGGACTTTGCACAAGGCTCGGGCTGCTTGGCAACTGTCCACCGCAATCCATGCCTTCAAAAAGCAACTCAGGAAGGATTGCCAAAAAGAAGACAAGCATGAATCCACAGACACTTGCCCGATGTCTGCATGGAGGGATGGAAGATGCACGCACAGCTGTAGGCCCGCACGCTGCAAACAACTCTGCATGATATGCTGGTCACGAAAATGCAACAGCAGCTCCGGCAGAGCTCCGCGCCCAATACTGCTTTCCAGCAGCGACCGCAGTACCAGCTGAGATGTCTCTTGATTTCGCTTCATACCAGCAACGCTCCACTGGCATAGGAGGCACAAGGCTCCAAGCAAAGTGATCTGCCATTCACTCCGAACCAACTCTGCAGCCGGCTCGCGGTTGAAGAGCTTGTTCCGAAAACGATTGGCTTTGGCAGATCTGATCAGGCAGTCCTCTACGGCCAGGCCCATGGGAGCCCAAGAAACAACCCAATCGCCTTCATCCTTGCAGCTCCTGTTCACAACATCATGTACGGAATGAGATTTGGCCAGCTTGCCACAGCAGACCAGCAACCGACGCAATTCCAAGTACACCAACCTCTGCCCGTCAGTGTATCGATAGACCCAAGCTTTGAGCAACGCAGGCTTTGGCAAACCCTGATCCAACCATCTAACATCCAGGTATCGGGCGTCGTGGCCATCAAATGCCATGCACGTTGCTTGCGAACTATGTCGGACTTAGGGGTTGAACCTCAACTGCTTACACCTGACACACGCTTTCAGGGAAAGTTTGGTGACAGGACCGGTCAGAGACATCAAGTGCCGTCGTTGCACAAGGAAGTTTTAGGCGATTGGGGATTACACAAGGACTTTGCTTGCTTGCGACGGCCGTTTGAGATCAGCTGACGGAAGTTTCGGACTGGCCATGTTCATTCACGACACAAGCGAATGCTAGTTTCGAGCCTCGCATCTGCACCAGACTGCACTCTAAACGGACCTGCGGGGCATGTTCCGGCAAATGCAGAGGTTTCCATGTCTGCCGTCTATCAACCAATGGCAGATCAGCCTTGGAAGACCTTCAATGGTCAATCGTACGCAGAGATGATGTCACGTTGCAGCCTCTGCCACTCACACTACACATCGCCAGCCCATGATTAGTCCCGACCCCCTACCCCGTCCCTAACAACAGAGGCCGAGTTAGACTACCAAAACATACACATACTTCCAAACCCTAACCTTCAAACCTAAATGCGCGCAACGTCCGGTCATGTCTCCCCCCGTCGTTTTTGCTCTCCCTCTCTCTCTGCTGTAAGCTTTCTTCTCATTGCAGCACTATTGGCCACAACAAGCATACCCCAAACACAGACTTCAGTCAGACTAGTGAAGAAAGTACGACGCCACGCCAGGCTACAAGTCGGAGGCACTGTCAAAGCAAATGGCTTGGTCAATCATGTGGCATTTCAAGCACTGTAGGCAAATACAACTGCCAAGGGAATAATCACAGATGGTCCTGCGAAGCAGTTGCTGCTCCGAGATGTTGCACAACGGCGCGGATTAAACCCTTGCAATGCCAAAACACTACACACGACATCCCTACATTGCCCCCCCAATGAACAAGGCGTAAGCTCTACAAGACCACCCCTAAATTACATGCACAACCCTCTGCAACAAACTTCAAGTCGCTAAGCCGAACCGCTGCAACAGGCACAACGGTAAGACGCTTGAATTGTGGGGGGGGGGGGCACGACACAACAAAACTAATGGGCCTCGGGCAGTAGTGTCATCCAGGTTGACATTGCCAAACCTAGAACTGCGAAGCTGCAGATCAGAAGCCACCTATGACGTAGGAGATGGCACCTCAATGTCGAGCTCAGACGACACTTTGCATGATGTGGGGGTTGGGCTGTCACTCTGTGCTTTCTCGAAGCATGGGTCGAGCTCCCTCTTCACATCCTCCATGCCGGGCTCATCCTGCATGCCCTCCTTCTCCGAGTCGGGTGTGCTGCACTTCTTGGGAGTGCGACTGGCCATCGGAGCTGCCTCTGAGCGCCGAGCCTTGGAGGCTTTCTGCTCGATGGGCTCCTTTCGGAATCCACTCCCTCCAAGTCCAGCTTGAGAGTGCATGCGCTTGAGGTTGAAAGGGATCTTCACTTCGGTTTTGGACGGAGAGGCTGCGCTTGAAGCCGGTACCTCCTTGCCTGAATCTGTGAGCATGGGGTGCTTGGGTGCCAGGCCAGCTCCATCACTGGGCAACGCCAAAACGAAGGATCTCACATCATCAAACGGATCATCCGGAAAGCTGTCGCCGAAGAGCTTCTTCAAGGGAAAAGTCAGAACACCACCGTCTTCGGTAAGGATGGCATTCTTGGACGAGTAGTTGGCCTCGATGTGAAGCTTTGCAGAGTCCCTCACCACCGCCGCTTGGTCTGCTGGCAAGGGCCGAGTGGCCCTTTCTGTCAAGAACTTGTGGGTGATGTGGACGCTGCTGCCCTCAATCGAGAACTGATACACTCCATGTGACTCCCACTTGGGAGGCAACGGGAGGCACCTCAAGCGATGACCGTGAAAGCTGTTGAGCTCTGTCAACACGCGTTGCAGGTTGCCGAGGACTTTCAAAGGCCCGCTGGTACCAATGAAAGCGACTGGACTGCACTCCGTTGCATACTCGATCAGTTCCTGCACGGAGCTCTTCGGAATGTTCTTCTTGGGGCTGGGTTTGAGTGCTGCCAAGGCATACGGAGTGATGACAGCCTCACCGAGATTAGTTGCCAGAAACATCAGGATATCTTGATGGAGCCCTCCCAACGAAGTCGTAGTCCTTGGAAGGATTGTAGCTGCTTCGACTTCAATCTTCTTGGTGGCGGGCTTCTTGGCCACCGGCGTCTTGGTATCTTCTTTGAAAGCTGCCTCGAGATCAATGCCACTTTCGATCAGGGCTGATTCACAGGCCCCACACAGCTCTGCCGAAGACCGAACTATGCTGAAGATCTTCTCTGCACGAGCATCTAGCTCCAGCTGCTGGCATGCTTTCCGGTGCTCGGCAGCTTTGGCTAGCTTCTCTGTGGCAGATCTGCGAACCGGCATGGCTCAGTGCTACGTCACAGGACCGCTTCCCGAACAGCTGTACAAACAGATGCTCGAACCACCAAGCGAGCCACACAACGTCAAACCCTGCCGGCTGAAAAATGGAGTCGTCGGCCGATGTCAGAACCGAGCAATTGACCATTCTGTTTGATGCCATTGAAAATCGAACGCACTACTTCGTTAGATGCTTGCCGAAACTCTCCTACATTCTGCAATGCGCTAGACACCCCTGGCGGCTTACTTTCCGAAGCTGTTCGCAACATTCATGGGACCTCATGCGGACCCCTCAACCCATCTCAATACCTAGCTCATCCGGGAAACCAGAGGCTCGCGAAAAAGCCTGTTCTCCAAAAGTCTGTACAAACTTCTGATGAGTCTTATAAGGCCATAAAGTAACTACTTACTAAGTCCCCTGACCCTCCAAGTACACCTCAGCGGTGGCTTTGACTGGGGCTGTATAAGGGTAGTTCTCTAAATTAGGGTCCCTTTTCAGGTCACCAATATAGTACGGCCCTAAACGGGACCCTAATTTAGAAAACTACCCAGAAGTCTTTCTGTCAATTCGAACCTATCAGGCTTCAAACCCTGCACCCTGAATGCTCAACCTTAGCTTCAAGGAAACCACAGGTGGGGAGTTTAGGGTATATAGACCTTCGAAAAGGCTCCTATAACCGTAACTACCCACCTGAGAATGTCCTAGACTGAATGCTCAACCTTAACCCCTCAAAGGGGTAACTGTCACAATCCAGGTCCCTGGTGGGAACCCTGTACAAGTCTACTCTTAGTACCCTAAACCCCAAACCCGAAACCCAAAACCCTAAACCCTAAACCCCAAACCCTGAACCCAAACCCAAGACCCTAAACCCAAACCCTAAACCCTAAACCCTAAACCCTAAACCCTAAACCCCAAACCCTAAACCCTATACCGAGAAAACCCAAACCGTCTTTTTTGAGGGATCCTCCAGGACTGGGAAGCGAACAGGCGTTGAGCTGTAAAGCGTAAACCCTAAGCCGTGGGTTTAGGGTTTAGGGGTTTAGGGTTTAGGGTTTAGGGTTTGAGATTTAGGACTGAGGGGTTTAGGGGTTTAAGGTTCTGGGATCAGGGTTTTAGAGTGCCACTAACAAACTTCATTGAACACTGCTACATACGTACATAACAGCCAAAACCCGAAAGGCCAAACCCTAAAATCCAAAATCCACAAACCGAAAAACCCAATCCCTAACAACACAAACCCCAAAATCATAAGCCAAAAAACCAAAAACCCAACATCAAAGCCAAAATCAAAGCAACAAAATGAAAACCAAAAAAACGAATTCCAAACACAAAAGGCCAGAGGTCCTCCATTGAGAGTTCTGGGCAAGAGTATGCCGGACCTCTGGGTGTGTGCGCATGCGCATAAACACCCCGCGTGTGCTCGGCCTGAACATGTCTAGAAATTCTAGAAGCCTAAAGGGTTTAGGGTTTAGGGTTTCGGGTTTAGGGTTTAGGGTTTAGGGTTTAGGGTTTAGGGTTTAGGGTTTAGGGTAAACCCTACATCCTAAACCCTAGTGAGAAGCAACCGAACCCTGAGTTGAGGGGGCCATGGAAAGATCCAAATTTCGATGGGCTGGAATTGGCAAGGTATCGGTCCAGTTTCGATTCAACCCTGTTAGAGCGACGGTTAAACCCGGAACCATAAAACATTATACCCCAAACCCCCGACCCTAAAACCTTAATCCTAAAGCCTGAACCCTAAACCGTTTAGGGTTCAGGATTTAGGGTTAAGGTTTTAGGGCCCAAAACCCGAAAAAGCCCGGGTTTGGGGTTGAGGGTTTAGGGTTTAGGGTCCGCCAGACCATTTAGGGTTTTAGGGTTTAGGGTTTAGGGTTTCCGTGCCCGTGCAGATCCAACTGGGGTCTAATGTAGGGGTCTGAATAATTAGAATAGGGTTATGGTGTATATTAGGCTACAACTGTAATAAGGAGCCCCGAAAATAGTATTGGTAATTATTGAGGCCCCTATATTACCTATGCATACATAGCTTAACAACTAGATATCATTACCCCCCAAAACCCTGAACCCTAAACCCTAAACCCCTAAACCCCTAAACCCTGAACCCTGCTGCAGACCCTAACCTCCGGACTCATTCCACGATCTCGGCCGAGACACGAAAGCCTCTTGTTGATGAGGGGCCTGTATGTGTCCCAGAACGTTTCCCAATCCTGGTCAGTAGATATTTTGCTTTGTTAAGGACTCTTGTCCCACTGCGTGCAAGGATTCCGGGGTTTGAGTTTAGGGTTTGGGGTGTTTTGGGTTTTTGAACAGGCTCTACAGGGCGCGCTGGGGTTGCAATAAGGGTCCAAAATGGCTTCAGGCTTCAGGTTTGTGCGAACAGTGCCTGAACCCT